AAAGAAAGAAAGAAAGAAAGAAAGAAAGAAAGAAAGAAAGAAAGAAAAGAAAAGAAAAGAAAACCCAAATAAAGGCTTAGTGTTGTGGTGGCACATGCTTTTAACCCCAGCACTCAACTTCAAGGCCAGGACTATTACACAGAAAACCCTGTCTTGAAAAACAAAACAAAACAAAACAAAACAAAAAACTCAAATGAGATCTAAGAAATTAATCAGATTATATGATATATATATATATATATATATATATATATATATATATATATGAAGGTAGAATTTTGAGACAGGAAGCAGATTACTAATAGGATCCTATTTATATCACAGAACCCAAAAAAGGCTTAGCAATTGTTATGAATATAACTGTGTATCATTTATCTAGTGTAAACACAATAATGTACTCACTAAAATTAGTTAATGCTACTAGAGGTGGGAGAAAAAATGTGCAAGGTAAGGTCAGAACTGTGAAAGAGAACAGTTTGTTTTTTTTTTTTTTTTTTTTTGGTTTCTCTGTGAAGCCATGGCTGTTTTGGAATTCAGACTCTGCCTTCTGAGTGCCGGGATCAAAGGCATGTGCTGTGAAAAAGAACTTAATCCCTTCACCCACTATCAAAGAAATATTACAAATAATGGCTGAGAATGAACAGTCAGGATTTGACGATGCAAGCATTTCCAGTGCCAGAAGATCAGATGAGAGAAGTGATAGGCTATTCCAGGATCTAGAAGACCTGGTGGCATGGGTCATGGAGGCTGGAGTGTCACAGGAGGGCTGCTAGTGCTAATTTTGTAAAAACAAATTATTTCTCTTGGTACTATGTCCGTCTATAACTTTGGTAATAGTCAAAAAAATCAGTTACTGTGATTAGTATATAATTTTATCAATGATAAGATATATAGATTTATAATTTCATAGATAAAAACTCTATCACCAAAATTAGGTTGTATCTTCAAAGTCTACATTGTTTAATATTTAATGAACTATGATGGTTCATCATTCAGATATCAAACTTACTCGTGGATGACACGAATGTAACTCCTTCTCTTCTTCCCTTTTTCCTTCTGTTCTTTTAGATCACAGGCCTAAGTCTACCTCTTCCTCCCAAGAAACTGATTGGAAACATGGACCGTGACTTCATAGCTGAGAGGCAGAGAGGCCTGCAGAACTACCTTAATGTTATCATGGCCAATCATGTCTTGTCCAATTGTGAGCTGCTTAAGAAGTTCCTAGACCCAAACAACTATTCTGCAAATTACACTGGTAAGAAATGGGGGTCTGTGAGCTGCAGTCAGGTGGGGCCCAAGCTCAGCAAAAGATAACATGTATGTGAAGACTCTACCTCCATGTGGGGAAATGTGGACACTTGTAACACGGCAGCGTTACAAGTCTTTGTGTGCAAAGACTTGCTTGGTTGTAACTGTCTGTACATCCATAGGAAGAACATAAATGTTTGTAATGCCTGTACAGACTAACGAGAAACAGTCATGTCTGTGCACTTCTGGTGGGCCTGTTATCTTCTCTGGAACATAGCGGACAGCTTAAGCAGTACACAGAGCAACCTCAATCTGGTTTGTATTTACAGTGTGTAATGTGTCTGGTTTTCCTTGAAGTTTTCTTTAAATGGAATGTTGATTCAGAAAGGCTGTTTCTGTGTCCTCCCACCTGCTCCCTGAGACTCTTGAGTGCCACACACAGAGCATAGCCTCCAGGATCAGGGCTTTTGATTCCCTACTGGTTACACACAAAGTCAGCTTCAAATACCCATGCCTGATGTCAGCAAAAGGAAGAACTAAATACCTCCTTCACTCTAGCCCCTTGCAGGGGCCACTAAAGCTACTGTAGACCTAACCTGATAAACATAAGAAACACATTGTTTAAAGCCAAGCCTTGCTAAATGGAATTCTGTCTGTTAATTTCTTGTTAAGGGAATAGATTCTCTTTTTGGGTTTAAAAACATTGTGTTTTTTTTCTTATATATTTATTACAATTTATTCACTTTGTATCCCTGATATAGTCCCCTCTTTCCTCTCCTCCCAAGTACCCCCTTCCCTCTTCTTCTCCCCCAATGCCTCTCCCCTAGTCCACTGATAATGGAGGTCCTCCTCCCCTTCCATCTGATCTCAGCCTATCAGGTCTCATCAGGACTGGCTGCATTGTCTTCCTCTGGGGCCTGGCTAGGCTGCACTCCCCAGGGGGAGGTGATCAAAGAGCAAGGCACTGAGTTCATGTTAGAGACAGCCCCTGCTGCCCTTACTAGAGACCCCACTTGGAGACTGAGCTGCCATGGGCTACATCTGAGCAGGGGTTCTAGGTCCTCTCCATGTATAGTCATTGGTTGGAGTATTGGTCTCTGCAGACCCCTGGGCCCAGATTTTTTGGCTCTGTTGGTCTCCTTATAGAGTTCCTGTCCCCTTCAGGTCTTTCTGGGTCCCCCTTCTTTTATAAGATTCCCTGCACTCTGCCCAAAGTTTGGCTATGAGTCTCAGCATCTGTTTCAATACCCCTGATCATTAGAGTCTTTCAGAGGCCCTCTCAGGTAGGCTCCTGTCTTGTTCCTTGTTTTCTTCCTCTTCCAATATCTATCCCATTTGTCCTTCTGAATGAGGATTGAACATCTTCCCTAGGGTCCTCCTTATTTTATGCTCCTTATTGTATGCTCAAGTATATAACAAGGACATTTGTTCAACCATGTTCATAGCAGCTTTATTTGTAATAGCCAGAATCTGGAAACAACCCAGATGTCCCTCAACTGAGGAATGGATACAGAAATTGTGGTACATTTACACATAGGAAAACATTGATTTTTAAGCCAGACTCATTCCTGTAACACTAGCAATTGTGAGGGGGATTATCTTAAGTTTAAGGAAAACCTAGGTTATACAGTAATTTAGGTTATACAGGGCCAGATTGGGCAACAAAGAGAGACCCTATTTCAAAAACCCTAAACAAACAACCCATTTCATTTGAATTAGCTGGGGAGATGGTTCTTATTCCTGTTTGAGAGGGGGGACTGGAAGCCTACTTGTTAGGCACCAAACCCTCCTGCATAGAAGAATCACTTGGGACGTGGGTTAAGAAACCCTAATGCTCAGGCTGTGTGCGTGTCAGTCTGGAATCTGTGAAGTTCTCTTTTACAGTGGAGTTTGAAAGCCTCAGCCCATGAGCTCACTGCTCACAGTACTGTTCTCTAACCAGGGTGAGTTGCATCGCCGGAACTTGTCTAACATACAGAACTGAGGCCCTACCTAGACTTACTGGATCAGGAACTGATTTTAATAGGTGGATTTCAGTGGATTTGCATGCACAGTACAGTACAAGAAGCCTTCTTTAGAATATGGCCAAGAAAAAGAATTTGTATTTCAAATTCATTTACTCTAGTGTACAGAATCAAACACCACTGTACGGTTACAAGGTTCCATTCTTTCCTTCTTGGCCAAAAGACCAAGACTGGGCTGGAGCTCAGAAGAGCTTTAGTTCTGTTACTGTCTTTTGACCGTTTCATTTCTTTCTTCAGGTCTCACCTTCACTGTTCCAGAAGTGTCAGCAGGTCATCTGGGTGGCTTTAGTGAGTCAGCCCACCCCTCTATGTTCTGTCAACATTATCTCCTGAGAGTGTCGGCTGGTGCTCTCATGAGGGCAGCTGTCAAGCTGTAGTGAGCAGGTACTGAGGACATCCATTCAGCGAGCATCAGTGATCTGCCATGCCATATGCCCAGGATAGGCATGAAGCTCATGCACTCCTTGTGTTCAAGGAGCTTTTAGCAGAAGAGTGATGGTTCACATGGGCTGGACACCAGAAGGCATCTTACAACTGTTGTATCAAAATCAACCATTTTAGTGTGTGTGTATGTCTCTGTGTATGTGTGTGTGTCTGTGTATATGTCTCTGTGTATGTGTGTGTGTGTGTGTGTGTGTGTGTGTGTGTGTGTGCATGCATGCATATGGAGGCCAGAAGTTGATGTCAGGTATCTTTCACTATCACTCTCCTTTTTTTTTTTTTTTTTTTAAGGCAGAGTCTCTCACTGAACTGAAACTTGTCATTTTGGCTAGGCTGGCTGACTAACACACCCTCAGGGATCCTTCTGTCTCCGTCCAAGCACTGGGATTTCAGGTGCTAACCAATGCCTCTGAGTTTTCACATGTGTGCTTGGACTCAAAACTCAGGTTCTCATGCTTGCAAGGCAAGAGTTTTACTGATTCATCTCCTTGCTACCAGCTGACTTAGATGAGGAAACTGAGGGCTTCAGAGAGGTAGGGCTTACTTAGGCCCTGCCCATTTGTGTGGTTCTGGTCCTATCAGAGAATTTGCAAGTTAAAATGCAATTTGGCTCCTAGAAGTTTGTCTGATCTGTATTCCTGCTGTTACCATCTAGGGATCTTGATCCCATTTGTTTTCTTTGCCAGTTAAAGAATTAAAAGGCAGGAAAATTCCTGAGTGCAACTGAGAGCAGTAGAGAAAATCTTGAACCCAGCAGAATCATCAGGTGAGGAAAGGCCTCTTATTATGGGTGAGGAAACACACACACACACACACACACACACACACACACACACACACACACACACACGTTCAGAACAAACAGAGGCTATTCTGCAGGGATTGGAGGCTATAAAACCCAGCAGTAGATTAGGGATCTGGGGCAGGCCTGGAGGAGTCTGCTTATTCCCGGTAGTCATCTCATGGGGTTAGGATCTTTGAGTTCAAAGACTGTGTGCAGATGAAGACCAGGTACCTCTGAGTCCTTGGAAGCTGGAAGCTCAGGAAGCAGTAGGATGGACTGGGGGTTGGTTTCCCATTTCCTGTCTTGGGCTTTTGTTTTTTAGCACCTCAGTGATTAACGATTTTCCCTGAATGTCTGTCAGTGTTAAAGAAACAACATTTTAAAAAATAGCCTTAGCTGAACAGTGGTGGTGCATGCCTTTAATCCCAGTACCCAGGATTTGCAGAGGCAGGTGGATATCTATGAGTTTGAGGCCAGGTCTACAAAGCTAGTTCCAAGACCACAAGGGCTACACAGAGAAACCCTGTCTAGAAAAACCAAATAAACACAAATAAAATAGAAATAAATATTATAAGAGAGACATAGGTAGAAGGAAGATGTATTTCTTTTGGGAGTCTGCACATTCTGATGGTTATAATGGAAGGTTCCACATATATTGGCTATCTTTGGTTCTCTCTTCATCAACTTTTAATTGAGCACTTTATATGTGCCAAGTGCTATGTGTACTACAGCAAGTTCAGTAGTGCTTACACAGGGAGATTGCTCTGTTACAGAGTAAACAGGTTAGAAGGTATACCAGGCCTGGAGATAGAGGAGGGCTTCCCAGAAGAGGCAGTGTTGACATTGGGATCTGAGAGGCCAGTGGAGGTTAGCAGGCTTGAGTCAGGGCCAGCACTCCAGGAAGAACAGCCCCGATAGGAGGGGAATTAGTATTAGGCTTTACCTAAGTTAAAAGATGCCCTCCCAGCTAGAGTTTAAAGCAGTGGGAGAGAACAGTCCAAATTCAGGACGTGCAAGGTCCACAAGAAGGACAGATGCACTGATGTGTATGAGGAGGAGGGTTTGGGGTAGAGGAACAGTAGATTTAGACTCAGCCTGAAGGTTTAGCTGGTCCTTGTGGAAATGCTGAGTGCTAGGGCAATCTGGAGGGGTTGTAGGAGGCAGAGCCCTGAGGGCAGAGAGTGAACCAAACATTGAGGGCTATGGAGTCAGCCAGTTAGACATTTGCTGTAGCAGCTTGACTTTGCTTTGGTAAGGAAGTGGGGGTCTAGTACAGGCTATCCAGAGATCTTAGGGCTGATGAAGAATCTGGGACAAGAGGGCATCAGTATCGGTCACTGTGCAATTTTTTTTTAAATGATAACAGTTCAGTGAAAAGAAAATGTCCTTTCTTGAACTCTCTCATCCCCAAGGTTTAAACCGAAAACCCAATTTCCAGTTCTCCATTTATCAGGAGCACATCTGTCCTGTTTTGTTCACCGTTTCTAAAACAGTGTATGACACATAGAACATACAATAAATTGATTAATGGTTTGTGAGTCACCTCTGAACCATTGTCCTGTGTAGTTTCTTGAAGTGACATTGTAGTATGGTAGAAAATTATTTTCATGACTTCTCAAAGTTGACACAGATGGATACTTTCATTTAGAATAGTTTCCTTAGCCAGGTGGTGACATGCCTTTAATCCCAGCCGTTGAGAGGCAGAGGCAGGTGGATCTTCATGAGAGCCCAGCCTGGTCTACAGAACAAGTTCCAGGACAGCCAAGGCTACACAGAGAAACCCTGTCAAGTAAAAAACAAACACAATACAATCAACTTATTTTAGAAATGATGAAAATACTGTATCAACATTTATAACACAGGCACAGTGTTCCCAGAGTAATAAGAGTTGTTTTGTTGTTATTGTTGTTTGTTTGTTTTGTTTTGTTTTTTGAGACAAGGTTTCTCTGTGTAACAAGAGCCCTGGCTATCCTGGACTCACTTTGTAGACCAGGCTGGCCTAGAACTCACTAGACCTTCCTAGTGCTGGGATGAAAGACATACACCACCATGCCCAGGTACAAATTAGTATTCTTGGTTTTGTTTTGTTTTGTTTTTAAAACAGGGTTTCTCTGTAGCTTTGGCTGTCCTGGACTCACTCTGTAGACCAGGCCGAGCTCAAACTTAAAGAGATCCACCTCTGGGGCTGGAGAGAGCTCAGAGTTTAAGAACTGTGGCTGCCCTTCCAGAGGTTCTGAGTTCAGTTCTCAGCAACCACATGGTGACTCACAACCATCTATAATGAGATCTAGTGTCCTCTTCTGGCCTTCAGGCATACATGCAGGAAGAACACTGTATATACAATAAATAAATAAATCTTAAAAAAAAAGAGCTCCACCTGCCTCTGCCTCTCTAGGGCTGGGATTAAAGGCATGCATCATTGCTGCCCAGCTAGAATAGTATTCTTTTTTTGTTGTTGTTCATATATTGTTTTTTTTTTCTTTCTTTTTTTTCTTTTAGAATAGTATTCTTATTAGCTGCCCTCAGCCCTTCTCAACATCCTGTGGCATCTCAGAGCAACTCTAACAATGCAAATAGAGCCAGCTTTGCATTTCATAGTCATGTGTTTCCTCTGGAATATTTGGGGGGACACTTGGCATAGTGAGTCAGTAAACAAACAGCCAACTGTTGTCTCCTGGAAACTTCTCCACTTACAATGTACATAAAATATGCACAGTGATAATGTTTGCCAGCTCTCAGTGGATTCCAGAAGGGGTTGTTTGACATATGGAGAATTGTTGGTGAGTCCAAGCCTCACCAGTCTCTTTGGAATATAATTAATGCCAGGCGGAGGTGAAATCCCAGTGTTTTTGGAAAATTGCTATTTGCTTTCAGGGATCTGGAGTGGTTTCACATATTCACTGCATTGGGAGGAAATGGCATCATGTCATGTTTTTTGGTGGGGAATATAAAAAGCAGTTATTTTGATAGTTTCTTAATATAGGGAACTTTAAGGAGCGCCTCTTCTCATTGTCTTTGTTAAAAGGGAAACGTTTGCATGATTAAAGAACAACAAAAAAGAGGATACATTTTTAAGTAGACAGGCACTCTGTAACTTACCTTGAGCCATGTTGTTGATAAAGGTTTTTTTGTTTGTTTGTTTGTTTGTTTGTTTGTTTTTCTGAAACTCTGGGGCTTTTATTCCAGCATATGCTTAAGGCTAATCACGTCTTCATTTGTGAAAGCTGTAATTCCACAGGAATGAAGATGGGATAAATATCCCTTAGAACGTGTTGATCCATGTGACCTTATCACACTTTCTGAATCTTGAGCTTTGGTCATGGCCTGATTAAATTCCTGGTTTTAAAAAAAAAAAAAAAGTATGTACATAATTAGTAATTTTATTTTTGCTCTTTTATAGTCCTTTAATTTTGGAGTAACTTTACAGACAAGTTGAAGTCACATTTTCCATGAACACTCCTCACCCGCTTTTTCCAGTGTAGCATCTAATATGACTATGGCATGTAACTAGAATTAAGCAAGCACTGTGGGTACATTACCACTAAACTCGGGCTTTATTCAGCGTTCATCACTTCCCTGGTGTTAGATCCGAGAATCGCTGAAGGAAGACCTCAGACTCAGGTAGTATGCAAAAGCAAGGAGCATATACTCTGCAGAAATTGCCAGCATGCTAGAGCCACCATTCCATAGAATGACAACCCTGAAATGTGCACCCAGGCTCAATTTAAAGACAGTCTATCTCCCTAATGTGATTAGGTAATCTTTTCATTTATTTTTTGGTACTGATCTAAGAGATGGGGGGGGGAGGCTTCATGGAGTGTCCAGGTAACAGGGTGTGCCCAGGTAACAAAAGTGCTCAGGTAACAATATCATTTTGACTAGCTAAATTAAATTTTTATTTTTTATATTAACTACAGTTTATTTACTTTGTATCCCAGTTGTAGCTCCCTCCCTCATCCCCTTCCTCCCTCATCTCCTCCTATGCTCCTCTCCAAGTCCACAGATACGGGAGGTCCGTCTCCCCTTCCATCTGACCCTAGCTTATCAGGTCTCATCAGAACTGGCTGCTTGTCTTCCTCTGTGGCCTGGCAAGACTGCTCCCCCTCAGAGGGAAGCAGTCAAAGAGCTAGCCACTGAGTTCATATCAGAGACAGTCCCTGTTTCCCTTACTAGGGTACACACTTGGATACTGAGCTGCCATGGCCTATATCTGAGCAGGGGTTCTAGATTATATCCATGAATATTCCTTGGTTGGAGTATCACTCTCAGAAAAGACCCCTGTGCCCAGATATTTTGGTTCTGTTGTTCTCCTTGTGGAGCTCCTGTCCTCTCCAGGTCTTACTATATCCCCCTTCTTTCTTAAGATTCCCTGCACTCTGCCCAAACTTTGTTTATGAGTCTCCGTTTCTGCTTGGATACACTGCTGGGTAGAGTCTTTCGGAGGCCCTCAGTGGTAGGCTTCTGTCTTGCTTCCTGTTTTCTCCTTCCAATGTCCATCCTGTTTGCCCCTCTGAGTGAGATTGATCATCTTACCCAGAGTACTCCTTCTAGCTCAGCTTCTTTAGGTGTACAGATTTTTTTGTAGGTTTATCCTATATTATATGTCTAATATCCACTTATAAGTGAGTAAATACTGTGTGTGTCTTTCACTTTCTGGGATACCTCACTCAGGATGATCTTTTCTAGAGCCCACCATTTGCCTGCAAATTTCATGATTTCTTTGTTTTTAATTGCTGAGTAGTATTCCATTGTGTAAATGTATTACAATTTCTGCATCCATTCCTCCATTGAGGAGCATCTGGGTTGTTTCCAGGTTCTGGCTATTGTGAATAAAGCTACTATGAACATGAAATTATGAAATATCCTTGTTGTGAACTTGAGCATATTTTGGATATATGCCTAGGAGTGGTATAGCTGGATCTTGAGAAAGCGCTATTCCTAATTGTCTAAGAAAGCACCAGATTGATTTCCAGAGTGGTTGTACAAGTTTACATTCCCACCATCAATGGAAGAGCGTTCCCCTTTCTCCATATCCTCTCCAGCATGTATTATCACTTGAATTTTTTATCTTAGCCATTCTGATGGGTGTAAGGTGAAATCTCAGGGTCATTTTGATTTGCATCTCCCTGATGACTAAGAACATTGAGCATTTCTTTAATTGTTTCTGTGCCATTCTATATTCCTCTACAAAGAATTCTCTGTTTAGCTCTGTACCCCATTTTTTAATTGGATAATTTACTTTGTTGCTTTTTAAACTTCTTTAGTTCTTTACGTATTCTGGATATTAGCCTTCTGTCAGATATAGGGTTAGTGAAGATCCTTTCCTAGTCTGTAGGCTATAGTTTTGTTCTCATGACACTGTCTTTCACTTTACAGAAGCTTTTCAGTTTCATGAGGTCCCATTTATTGATTGCTGATCTTAGAGCCTGTGCTGTAGGTGTTCTGTTCAGGAAGTTGTCTCCTGTTCCAATGAGTTCTAGGCTCTTCCCCACTTTTTCTTCTAACTGATTTAGAGTGTGTGGTTTTATCTTGAGGTCTTTGATCCAGTTGGACTTTAGTTTTGTGCGGGGTGGTAAATATGGATCTATTTGCAGTTTTCTGTATCCAGTTAGACCAGCATCATTTGTTAAAGATGTTGTCTTTTTTTCCATTGTATGGTTTTGGCTTCTTTGCCAAAAAATCAAGTATCCATAGGTGTGGGGGTTTATTTATGGGTCTTCAATTCGATTCCATTGATCCACCATTCTTAAACAAAGCATTTCTAACTAACCTTTAATTTAATTGGTCAAGTGCTTGGGGACTTTTCTAGGGGTTACTAAATTATTGTTTCTGATTTTCAGGGAGGTTATTGAGTTATTTTATCTTGTTTCCGTGAACTATAGTTTTGTCTTCTGAGAAATAGAATAGAAACTCAGGCTTATTCAGTCTGAAGTCAATGTTGAAGCCTGTCATGAAGTCAGACTGGCTTATTAAAAATCAGTTCCCTCACCAGGGGCCAGTCGGAAAGCCTACAGTATTTTTAATCTTCTCTTTTTTTTTTTTATCACGTTTTTAAATGAAGTCCATAGACTACAGGAATTTCATTTGCAAGAGCAATATGTGAAGCCTTTGGCTTTTCCTAACATATCTGACTAATGGATTTCTGCACTGTCATTACAGAGATCGCCTTACAACAGGTTTCCATGTTCTTCCGATCAGAGCCAAAGTGGGAGGTGGTAGAACCACTGAAAGACATAGGTGAGAGGCTGACGTGGCCATCCTGCTAAGACGTCATCCCAGCGCAGCTCTTTCCATCTGCTGACTTCACACTTCTTGTCCTCTCTATTGCCTGAAGTATTGCTCTTAACTTTAATACCTATTAACCTTGGTTAAAGCCCTGACAGAGGACTGGGTGCTGGTAACTTCCAGGACCTCCATTCGTTCTTCATTAGCCTTTTTCAGTAAGTCTAGATGGAAGTGCTGTTTTCTAGCTTTTTCATAAGTATAGGGATTCCTTTGTTTATTGAATGTCTCCATGAACATTGTTAAGTAGTTGGGCCCTACATAGCTGTGGCTAAGATTCCTGAATGTAATTTTGATTAACTCCTTAGTTAGTAAAATTTACATCAATCGTTGCAAAGTGCTGATGTTGTAAGCACTTTCCTGTTTCTGTGGTAGGTTGGAGGATAAGAAAGAAGTATTTCCTGATGAAAATTAAAAACCAACCAAAGGAGCGGCTGGTGTTGAGCTGGGTAAGCTAATTCCTTTGCTTTCGCTTATTTTAGGAAATTTGGATTGTGTATGAAAGGGTACTGTGCTCTTACATAGTGATATGTGGATTTTCTCAGTCCTACATCAAAGGATAGTTGTTTTAAGTCCCCTGGCTATGCATTTGGTCAAGTAATAAATTTTCATAAGGATACAGGAACTGCCTCAGTTAGGACTGACCCCTAAGAAAGCTATTAGGCTTTATCTCATCCTTTTCTCTCTGGGAGTTGTAGTGACACGTTTGGCTATGGAATTGGATGAAACCCCAGTCATACCCTGATGCTCATATGTGAACACACTACCTCTCCAGAAAAGGCCATGAAGCAGCAGACAACATGGTTTCCATCTTGGATTTATAGTTAAGAATTTGGACTAATAGTTAGGGGGAAAGGTGTAAGGAATTTTTCTTTTGGTGAGCAAAGTGGTACTCTGATATTTTTTCCTACATTTTCAGGCAGATCTTGGCCCAGACAAATACTTGTCAGATAAAGATTTTCAGTGTCTAATCAAACTTCTGCCTTCCTGTGTGGTGAGTACAAAGTCCTCCTATTGCCCCCACTGCTAATCAAGGTCAGTGTTTTCTTGAGGGTGAACCTGATTTCCAGCTGGAAATACCCAGTAGGATCAAGAAAATGGAAAGGTGTAATGGCTCTTCATTCAGACCAGAAGTGTGCAGGCTACTCCCATAGATGAGCGCTCATTTAACCCAGTGTTTGTGACTTCTTCATGGCCTATTAATGATAGTAATTTAAATGTAGTTTTTGTATTTTAATCAGATATCAGAGTAGGAAAGAGCCACTTCTCTGAACCTCTTGTTCTTGTTGAGTGTTTTATTGGTGGGACTCTAAGAACTCTATCTAACCCAAGAGGCTCTAGGTAACCTGGGTGAAAGGATGACAAAAATAGTCACTTTGCTGAGTTACCTTTCACAGGCTCACTACCTGGCCTTTAGAAACATGATCTAAGACCTTTGTTGGCAGAAAGCACACTGATAGGCTCAGTATGTACAGTATGTACAGAATGTCTGGCCGTCAGCTGGGTGAGTATCAATACTCATTACCTATTTTCCACACTAGAATTAGTTGCTCGGGTAGTGGGCACAGGCACACTCACCTGTGTCCACATAGGGTGGTCAATTTACCTTTGAAGTCATCTTGTTAAAGCAATGGGACTGTGTTGTAATGAGGTCTGATATTTGTCCAAGAAAAATGTTGTGGCCTTGAGTTTGATAGGTTGTATGACAGGCTTTCAACACCCAGATTTTTGTTGCTGTTGTTTGTAGTAATTGAGATTGAACCCAGAGCCCTTTGTATGCTAGGTAGATGCTCCACATTCAACTATGCCCCAGTAGTAACTTACCTTTTATTTTAAGTTCCCCAGGTTGGCCTTGAACTCACTCTGTAACCCAGGCTGGCCTTGCACTTGTGATCTTCCTGCCCCTACTCTTAAGTCTGGTATTATAGGCCTGAGCCACCAGTCCCAGTTAGCACCCAGATTTAAATTACTTTTTAAAATTTTTTAAATTTTAATTATTTTATTTATTACAATTTATTCACTTTGTATCTCAGCTGTAGCCCTCTCCCTCATCCCCTCCCAATCCCACCCTCTCTCCCTCATCTCCTCCCATGTCCCTCCCCCAGTTCACTGAGTGCCTCCTCTTCCCTCTGACCCTAGTCTATCAGGTCTCATCAGGACTGGCTGCATTGTCTTCCTCTGTGGCCTGGCAAGGCTGCACCCCCCAGGGGGAGATGATCAAAGAGCCAGCCACTGAGTTCATACCAGAGATAGTCCCTGTTCCCATTAGTAGGGAACCCACTTGGAGACTGATAAATGTTTAAAAAACAAGAACAAGAGCCAGTTGAGGTGGCCTACTCCTGTAATCCCAGCTCTCAGGGAGGCAAAGGCTGGTAGATCTCTTTGAGTTTGAGGCCAGCCTGCTCTACAACGTCCAGGAAAGCCAAGGCTACACAGAGAAACCCTTTCTTGAAAAACAAAACAAAACCAAAAAAAAAAAAAAAAAAAAAAAAAAAAAAAAAAAAAAAAAAAAAA